ATCTAAAACCGGTTTTGATAATCAGAGAAAAAAATGTCAAGAAAGTAAAGAAAAAGAGTCACCTGGCCATGAACCTCCGTTATGGTAACTCCAACGAGTATTCTTAGGGTCACAACCGGTAACAATCCTCCACTCATGGCTCTCAATAGCCGGGTGACAAATCTTAACCGGCATCTCTCCGACCAGCTCTTCCCAGCGTTCCTCGATCAAGTCCATGATCGCCGCAGACTGCTCAGGCGTAGCTAAAGAAGCAAGGATGGCTACACAGTTGCCAAGAGCGAACCACCTGAAATCCATACGAGCTGGACTAACGTTCCCTATAAAGTAGCCGCCACGGAGAGGCATGAAGTCGAAGACCCACTCAGGGATCGAGTCAGGGATGACGTTGAACTTGTTGACCGCCGTGTGCGAGTACTCCTCTGTCTTGTAACGGTAAATGTCGTTGAGCTGCTGAAAATCAAGCCAGAAGTAGCTTCTCATGTGGAAGCTAAGCGCGTGTAGCCGCTTAGATATCCTCTCCATGAACTCTTTCCCTTCTGTGTCGTGCTTTAGCATCGACATTGCTGATCGGAGAGCCATGAAGAAGAGAGCTTGGATCTCAATCGGGTACCCATAAACCCCCTGCGCACGCAACACTCCGTCCCGTTAGACATTAGTTCGGTATACAAACCGAACCGAACTTGTCTTAAAAACCCAAAGAAACCAACCAATACCGAAATAGCTAAATAATACATTAAACTTATGCTTTGAGCTAAATATTAAAGAAAATAGGTTTATTTATACTCTTTTTATTTCAAAATAAAGTTGTATTTCTAGAATAAATTTTCATCATAAAACAAATGTTATTTTATGATCTCAATGTAGATTTTGAATTAATTATATTTTACCCTAATTAATTAAAAAATAATAAAATGTTACAAATTTCAATACTTAAATAAGAATAAAATTGAACAGTTAGCTATTTTAATTTATGTGAAAATTTTAAACACATAATTCTAAACAGAGGAAGTACAAATAAATATACTATAGTAGAAGTAAGAACTAATATCTTATGGTTCATCCAAACCAAATAACTTGACCGAATAAATAAACTAAATTAAACCGGAAATATTTATTTAAACTATAATTCGGTTTATCTCTCCAAACCGAACCGACTTTTCAACCCTACCAACCCTCTTTTTTTGTTTGTAACATCAAGTCATCAACCCTACCAACTCTTATTGATTTGGATGATAAAAAGTAGAGAGAGAGAAAACTATTACCATTCTTCTATCAACCATGGAACATCCATCAGCGCAAAGCAGTGTCGGGAAAGTATCAAACCCTTCGGAGAGACAAAGAGACAGAATAAGTCTCATTCCCTTTTGACACTCAGGTGTTTCAGCTAGAGAAAGGTCTCCGGTGGATTTGCTATATGCTCTGAGAAGAATGATCCACCAGAAACCAGAGTCAACCGGAGCCACTCTTCCAATCGCGCTCTCTCCAAAGTCAGCGATGACCGTGTCTGTTTTCTTGATTGGGTCGTGAATGACTTTGAAGCTAGCAGGCATGGCGCCTTCTCCGAGCTTGAACCGGTCGATTCTTTTCTCCCTTCCTTGGATTTGAATTGTCATGAGGAGGAAGTTCTTGACTATCTCTGGCTCTCCGTTCATTAGGAAAGCTAGTGCGCTTGGAACAAAATCTCTCACGAAAACCTAACAAATCATTTTGAACAAACATTTCTCTAGAGAAGTTGATGCAAATTAAAAAAGCATTCAGTTATACACAGTTAAAAAAGAACATTCGCTTATTATTACAAATCAGAACCGTAATGGGTGGTCAAGACATGACGTCATCATGAATAATTTCAAAACAGAGCTTCTTCAGACATAAATAATTATGAGACACAAACGATATACCTGGTCATAGTTCAAGACTTCCTCAGAAGCATGGTCGTAGGCAGCGATAGTACCAACAGGTTGGCCACGGAAGTGAACCAAAGATCGCCTCAGAGCATCCCAAGCCTCGGCGACCATAGGATGAGGCTCGAACGAGTTTCTAGCGGAAGACCCTGGAGTTTCCCATCCTGACCGGCCACCGGGAGAATTGATGCCGCTGTCCATGATTCCCATTTCGCTGAACGACCTCTCGTCGAACGACCTTTTGCGTTCGGTGTTTAGCCTTGGCCGCCTGTCAAGTAACCGAGATAGGTCGTCCACATCTGATAACGAGCTTTGTGAGTTTACTCGTAGATTGTCCATGGGGAATGACAAACTTTGTTCTCAGTTTAGATCTGGAAGGAAACAAAATAAAATGGTGAAAGTTATTAGAGCGTTCTTGGGAAATGATTTGTTTAATTTTTGTTAGAAAAGGATCTTAGAACGTAACGAAAACATTAAAGATCAGACTTATCTAGGTAAAAATTTATTAATAGTACTGTTATTATGGATGTAAAAAAGATTTTATCGATAAAACAAAGAGGTTGTTGAAAGTCTAGAGAGAATGTCATTGAAGCTAGCTCAGATCTGAGAAGGAGAGGACAAAACGGACCTTTAAAGACGGAGAAGAACTCGGCCGGCGAGGTAATGTGAGAGAGAGAGAAGAAGAGAAAGAGAAAAAAAAAAGGAATACGAAATGAAGAAGTGTAATATATATAGAGGACGAGAAACGACGAACGTGGAAAGTCTCTCGTTTATTTCTCTCGTGGAGAGAGAAAATAGAGACAAGGCTAGTGGCTTTTGTCGTAGAGAGAAGGTTATTGGAGCGTGGTATTCACGGGAAGAAAACGACATCGTTTTATTCTGACAATCTAGCCTGGCCGAATATGCATCGATTGGGCCACTGGACTTTTCGCCGGGTTCGATCGGCGTTATCGACTTCTTTATGTATATGTTATTATTAGTCTTTTAAATATGGCTATTTTTTATTGTAGAACCAATCAAAAATCACCAATGTGTATATCCTGTCGGAATTCAAGATCCCACTTATCTACTCAGATTTTATTCATTATTGTTTCGAGCAAGTTGCATGCTGAAAATTACAAGTTTGAATCGTATCTTAAAAAATGCCATTGTTGATACTATATGTTATTGTTATCCTTTGTTTATTATACTTTTATTTACAAATATGTGTAAATATACGCAAAAAAAAATGTTTCTCTTTTTGGGTGGTTTGGTATACACGCAACAAATGTGTAAAGGATCTATTAGTAAGGATAAGGAAGTATATATAAGGAGAATAAACTTTGGTCACGCTGAATTAGCGTTTTCCAATTATAGACAATATACTCTTTCTTGATAGGAAATAATACGGTTTGAGGGAAATAATAGATGTGGCATTACTTGTTCGTCAAATCAAATGGTATGTTTCTTAAATGATAGTACTTCTTCAACAAGAAATAAAGATACTAAACGATACTCCAAACCAGTCGAATAATATTAGCTAAATGACATTACTTCGTCAAATCAATCATAATTAGGAAAGCAGATTATTGCTTAAATGGTTGATAAAACTTTTTCATTGCAAGTTGTCAAGTTGATAGATAACTATTTTCCATCAAAGAAAACGTGGATTTGGCAAAATACAATTGTCAGTGGAGCTGGTGGTGCATGCGAGTCACGTGGACGATGTTGAATCAGGGATATGTGTTTTTGCTTTCAAGTCAGGCCCTATAGTCGATAGTAGCTGAGAAGTATTGATCCCAGCTTTCGTCTATTTCACCCGTTTGGCTAATATAAATTGACCTGATTTATATCTGTGCAAAACCTTATATGTCTCTTGTTTATTTTTGATTAAAAATTGTTTCATGGCTTTAATATATATATATAAAGCTCTAAAATTTGCACTTTGTAGTACCAAAACTAGTTAAGCACGTAGTCATCGAAATAGTGTCGTAAATTCCACGTAAAGTTTTGTAAATCTATTAAAAAACATAGTTTTGTAAATTCCACGTAAAGTCTTCAATGAAAAGATTAAATAGTGTTGCTACTTTTTAATATTAAATTGGTATTATTCCGGACTTATGGAAAAATCAACACTAATCTACAAAATGACCATCTTTCTAGGTATTCAAATGAGAGCAAAGTCTAGTTCCAAAAATTTAGTGTTATTAACATGATTACAAAAAAAAAAGAATAGTGTTGTGGGATTGATTCAAACTCAAGTGGATTAGCTTGTTGAGTCTGTCAAGTGTTGCTATTTGCTAGCTTTCTTATGATACTTTCACCAGATGAACTTGAGGGTTTACGTGTTCTTTCACTGTCTTAAGATTATATCAGGGGACAGGGATATATCATTGTCTCATTGCCTACAACGCAAGCATGCGTTACATGAAGTGACATGCAAGTGATTAGGGCGTCGATGAGTACGCACTCAAAGGAAGATCAATATATTATATGAATGAAAACTTGACATTATATTATTTTAAAATGAAGAACAAGAATTAAACCGTCTTAAGCACATGTTGATCCCAAAGAATTAAATCATTTGTTCATTTCCCATTTAGCTAATCGTGTAATGAAATAAGGCCTATATTGGCCTAATTAATAATAATTCTAAACTTCAACTTGGCCCATAAACTCCACTCTATTCAGACTCTAGAGTGGGAGTGCGTTTCTTGATAAGCTTAAGGAATACTTATCTTCTAGAGACCAGTAGTGGCCCTGGGTAGAAGCATTACAAGCATCTGTTTCCGGACCTTAAAATAGAATAAAGTTTTCGGCCTTTTTTCACAAAAGTTATTATAGTTCAGATGGTTAAATAGCATGTGTTTCTTCTATAGGTAGCAAGTTCAGATCCCACATAGTGGCCTTTTTTATGGGAAGCTTCCGGTCTTTGTTTTTTTTTAGTTTTTCGGGGCCGGGCCTGCTAGAGACGAACAAGTTCGAGGCGACACTGTTATTGAAAGGTCTTCTTCAAACTTTTTCTCACTGCTCAACTCTTAGTTCTTGATTGTTTGTTGATTTTGCTGGCCTTTTTGTTTCAGCAATCCTGATCAATCCAAACATTTGGAGACGGCAAAGATGCGGATTTATAACCAATGGATAGACTTTGTTAATTTGAGATGTGAAGAGTATACAGAGAATACTCGTATCCCTACAATGGTAATGCTCCACCTTGTTTATCTGATATGAATGCATAACGCAACCTATCCAGAATGTCAAAGTTGTTGTGAAAGATGCAATGGAAAGGACCTAACTGCTTGTGCTGCTTAGTTTTAAGCTTTTAAGTTGATTGATTATAGAAATTTGGCACCGCAAAGGAGGATGCTTACAGGAGAGACTTAACCATAAATAGGTACTCTCATCTTCGTCGAGAACTACAAGTAGAGTAGCTGTTATCACCGACGCGTCACTGTATGCAAATGGTAACATTTTTTATGATGTTTTTAATTTTGACAGCTTGTTCTATAACCTTAACACTGGTTCAGTAGAAGATCTTACAGAAATAGGTTAGTGCTACACGCTGGTGCTGCTAGTATTGATTTCCTGTGATGTTGGAAGTAATCGTTTACATGTAATTGATAAAATCAGAGGGATCGATGACCTTAAGTCCGGAAAAATTGTTACACCATTTCCTGCAAAAGCTACGTTTCTGGATGATCCTTTGTGAGTCCTCAGGGCTATTCGCTTTGGTACTTTGTTTTTATTTTCATTAATTTATACATCATAAGTAACACTGTCCATTTCAGATCTTTCATTTGGGCTCTGTGGTTATTCCACTGCCATAACAGGTGCTAGATTTGGTTTTACACTGGATGAACAAGTGAAACAAGCTGCTTCAAGTGAGGAAGTGAGGATAGCTCTTGGAGAAAAAAATAGCAGAGAGCGGATCGGCAATGAAGTATATATCTGTTCTTCGTTCTTGCTGGACATAGCTGATCTAGCTGCAATTAGGGGTTTAGCATTACACAACTTGCTTTCTTGGTGCAGATCGACTTGATGATATCTGGAGACTGGAAATGGACCAGCTTCAGCAGTAACACATCTTGCTGACCTGAAGCTGTTTGGGGTTGTCTTTGCCTTACCATCTTCATCCGAGCCTGCACCATCAGAGAATTTTAGCAGATTCATCTCACTTATACTCATAACACTCGGGAACTTAGCAAACCTGGTTCTGTGAGCTTCCTATTCATATTTTGAAAAAAATCACTAATGTGACTCCGTTTTTCTAGCCTATGCCAAGCATACTTGAAAGCTATGTCGAGCTTCATTCAAACACCTGGGCTAGGAAAATTCAGCGTGAGTTATTAGTCTGTCACGATCGCATCTTGTTTTAATTGCTAGAAATGGAGTTCCGGTAGATTTTTATTGTTGTATTATTTGGTTTTAGGGTGAAGAAAGAAGGCTTGCTTTGTATGCTGCACTGTTTCTTCCCTTTAGGAAAACCGTTTACAAACACAATAAAGGCAAACAAGTACTGTAGTTTCTTACATATATGACCTCTTGTCATCTTTTCTTTGGTTTACCTAAATGTGAGTTTGAATATCATAGCTAACAAAACTTGAGCTCTTTATCTAGATCCCTCTTGTCAACCACATATTCAAATTCTCCATGAAGCGGAAGACCAGTGAAGCTGAAACGGTGATCTCTGATTATTAAAGTTCGATATCTTAGCCTCTGAGGCCTTAACTGCAGTAACTAGAGGGCGATACTTATTTCATTTGGTAATAACGAAAAAAAAATATTAACATGGTAAAATCATAACCATCACCTATGTTTTGCATTAGATTGGTGGTATAGTCTATAGAATGTGGAACTTGAATATTATTAGAGACAGAATGTTACAATATATACTACGCTACCAAGGACTCTAAGTAGGGTTACATCATTTACATAACAGTCCTTTCCATATATAATCTTAGTACTCTATACGCTCCCTCAAGATGGAGGTACTCTTGTGACTCCAATCTTGGATGTAGCTGAGATGAATTGTTGCCTGCTGAGCGGTTTCGTTAGAGCATCCGCTAGCTGGTCCCTGGTAGAGATGTGTGCGACACGAATCATACCCAACTGAATAAGATTTCTGATGAAGTGGTAGTCAATGGCGATATGCTTCATTCTAGAGTGGAAAACAGGATTAGCACACAAATAAGTTGCCCCTACATTGTCACAGTAAATGGCAGGAGCAGAAGGAATCTTAATGCCAAGTTCCTTAAGTAATGATGAAATCCATCTAACCTCTGATGCAGTATTAGCCACGGCCCTGTATTCTGCTTCCGTTGAGGAACGCGCAACTCCACTTTGCTTTTTAGATGACCAGGAGACTGGAGTTGAACCAAGGTAAATGACATACGCATTGGTAGAGACATAGTCATCGGTATCGCCTGCCCAATCCGCGTCTGTAAACGCATGAAGTGTGAGAGTTGAACCAGCTTTCATGTAAACACCATGACTCGGAGTTCCTGCGAGATACCGTAGCACTCTCTTAACGGCTTGCCAATGACACTCTGTTGGTTGATGCATAAATTGAGATAACCTGTTGACAGCAAAAGAAATGTCGGGTCTTGTGAATGCCAAATACTGTAAACTCCCAACGATAGACTGATATTGAGATGCATCAGCAAGAGGAGGGCCATCCTTTAAGGTGAGCTTCAGAGTTGTCTGCGTCGGAGTTGACACGGTCTTTGCATCCAGCATATTGGTACGAGCTAGCAAATCCAGAATGTATCGTCTCTGCATCAAGTGAAGACCCTGGGAAGATCTTGTAACTTCAACGCCCAAGAAGTAATGCAAGTCTATTGGATCTTTTATAGAGAATCGATGAGCGATGGATTTCAAGACAGACGCTACATGAGACGGGTTACTCCCCGTGACTATTATGTCGTCTATGTAGACCAGTACGTATGTTTGTTGAGCTCCAGCAGCGAATGTGAATAGTGATGTATCTGCCAAAGAATTTCTGAAACCAATTTCGAGAAGGTGATGCTTCAACGCCATGTACCAAGCCCTTGGGGCCTGCTTAAGACCGTAGATAGGTTTCTTCAAACGACACACATGTTGTGGTCTGTCTCCATCCACAAACCCCGGTGGTTGAGTCATGTAAACCTCTTCCTGAAGTTCGCCTTGCAAGAAGGCATTATTGAAATCAAGCTGCTTCAATTGCCATCCCATGTGCACAGCCATATCCAGAACCACTCATATCGTGGTTGTTTTAATCACAGGACTGAAAGTCTCACTGAAATCTACTCCATACTTCTGCGTGTTACCTCTTGCGACTAAACGTGCTTTTGGTCGATCCTCCTCTCCATTCGCCAAGTATTTTGTTGTGAAAATCCAGCGACAGCTAACAAGATTCTGCGATGGTTCTGGTGGAACTAAATCCCATGTTCCATATTTGATCTGTGCGTCATATTCAGTGGACATGGCTCGACGCCACTTTTCATCTTTTAGCGCCTGAGACACTGTTCGCGGTTCACGATTCGTTTGTTGCCTGGAAGCTGTGAGACTGAACTTTGTGTTGGGCTTTACGATCTTGTTCTTAGCCCGTGTTCGCATAGGGTGTTGATTCTGCGGTGGGTTGGAAGTAGTAGTCGAAGGATTTTGTAGGTTCTGGGTAGTTTGTGAATTTGACGGTGGTTGTATTTGTGGTTCACTGGTTTCATTGGCACGGGATTGGAGATTTGGTGAAGGTGAAGTTTGAATATTTTGTGGGCTTTGGGCTTCATTTGTTGGGTGAGGTGTCTGGGCCGTGGGTTTCGGCCCATTTTGATTAGGAGCAGTGGGCTCAGAATTAGATGGAGAAGAAGAATTTGACGGAGAGTGAGAGGAAGAAGGCGATACCTTAGATTGTCGAGACGATGAGGAGGATGTAAGGTGTGAGTGTTGGTGAGGATCTAAACACGGGGAAGTAGGCACCGGTTTTGGAGCTGAATGGCGGAGAGGAATTGCACTCACTTGTGGATTGAAAGACGCTGGTGAGTTCATATCGTCGACGAGAGAAGCCGGAGCGGAAACTGTCGGAGGATGAGCAAATGGGAATACTGTCTCGTCAAACACAACATGTCGAGATGTATAGACACGCTTGGAAGCAGGATGAAGACAAAGGTAAGCACTTTGACTAGTTGAGTATCCCAAGAATACGCATTGTTTCGATCGGTCCTCCAATTTGTGTTTTGTGTAGGGTCTCAACCATGGAAAGCATAGGCAACCGAAGACTTTGAGACGATTGTAATTCGGCGGTTTTTGGAACAACTTCTGGTACGGCGAGTCATAGTCCAAGTTCGGTGTTGGAAGCCGATTGATTAGATAGACAGCTGTAGCAAATGCGAAAGGCCAATAGGTTTTGGGCATCTTCGCCTGTGACATGAGCGTTAATCCGGTTTCTACAACATGGCGATGTTTTCTCTCAGCAGCACCGTTGTGCTCCGGCGTGTGCGGAGGTGACGTAAGATGTGAGATTCCTTGCGCTTGCAGGTATGATTTCAGTGCTAAAAATTCACCACCATTGTCTGAGAATAGGGTCCCAATGCGTTGCTGAAATCGATTTTCTACAAGCTCCTTATAGGCTACAAATATCTCCTTGACTTGAGATTTAAGTTTAAGTGGGTATAACCAAGTATATTTTGTGTAATGATCAACAAGAATGAGATAATATTTGTACTGGTCTGAAGATAAAATAGGAGAAGACCAGACATCAGAAAAAATAATCTCAAAAGGACGGGTAGTTGTTAAACTTGAAGTAGAAAAAGATAGCTTATGACTCTTATTGATCATGCAATCTGAACATGACATTGTTTTGGTAGAAATTTGAGAAACAGGAAGAGAAAACTTAGAAATAGTTTTATTAAGAATAGAAAGAGATGGGTGACCCAAGCGAGAATGCCAAGAAGATATAGTAGCCTTAGGTGTTGGTGATGCAAACATGGCCGCAGATGGTGTCTGTGATGTCGGCCATTGATAGAGCTGATTCCTAGCTTTGCCTTGGATTAACCGGGTCCCCGTGTTCAGATCCTTCACCTGAAATGAAGAGGGAAAGAATTCCACGGAGACGTGATTAGTGTTACATAAACCATGAACCGAGATAAGATTTTTGTTTATGTTCGGCACACACAAAACATCATCTAGCTTAAGAGATTTAGGTTGAGAGAAGAGAGTTGTAGAACCAGTATGTGTGATAGTTTTGTTAGACCCATCTGCAATTGCGACTGTCTCACCTCCTTCATATGGTTGATGCATGGAAAGATTCTGCAGGTCAGACGTGATGTGATGAGAGGCCCCGCTATCGAGCAACCAGTTGGTCGCAGTGTAGGGTGTTGCGGTAGCCACATTAGCACGAGGTTGTTGTTGCCACGGGGTGAATGGTGATTGTTGTGCAGTCGCCTGATAAGTCAAGAGCTGAGGACATTTCCTGGCCCCATGTCCTTGAGTTCCGCAAAATTGGCATTTGCCAAGGTAAGGTCTTGAACCTTTGTGCTGGTGTTGCCAACCAGTGTTGTTGTTGAAGTGTGGCCGCTGTTGATTGTTGTGGTTTTGATTGTTACCCCTGTTTTTGTTGTGGTAAACATACTGCGATTTTTGGTGTGCAAGATTTGCTGAGACAGGAACAATGGAGGAAGTCGCAGTGGATGCAAGCTTTGCTTCATGGTGAAGAAGCTTCTCGTGTATCTCGATAAGTGTCGGAGGGATCTCACGTCCTTCAATCTGATCAACCACCGGCTTATATTCATCAGGTAATCCTTCAAGTAGAGCATCAATCTGATCCTCATGATCCATAGGCTTGCCAAGGATTGCAAGTTGATCCACACGAGTAGTGATTCCCTGCATATAGACATCAATGGTCTTGTCTTCTTTCTTCCACAGCTTGATTTGATTCCTGAGGTTTTTAATATGAGCCCGGCTAGGTTTCGCGTAAGTAGCAGCAAGAGTTTCCCAAATTTGAGCAGCTGTGAGTGCTCGAGAGACCAACGGTTGAATGGGCAAGGTGATGGCACCCAAGAGAGCACTGTAGATCAAGCGATCCTGTCGTTTCCAGATGGTATTCTCTGGATTTGGTGTGATCTCTCCATCGACCGTAACAGTAGGAGAGGGGATTTCCACGGATCCATCAAGATGGCCTACGAGACCATATCCATCTACCAAGGCATGAACTTGGAGACTCCACATGAGGTAATTTGTGGCTGACAGTTTTGAAACATTCGACATGTTGATGTTTAGGATAGTTTGTGTGTTTGGATTGGTAGGAATGGTTTCTGTGAAGGTAGAGTTGTTTGGGGAAGACATTGTTGTTTGTCGTGAAAGAAAAAAAAATTGTAAGAAAATTAGGTATTTAGGAGCGACGGCTCTGATACCATATAGAATGTGAAACTTGAATATTATTAGAGACAGAATGTTACAATATATACTACGCTACCAAGGACTCTAAGTAGGATTACATCATTTACATAACAGTCCTTTCCATATATAATCTCAGTACTCTATATAGTCTTGTTCAAAAGGGGTGCATCACGTTTGACCATGCCATTTTAATTTGAATACTTTACGACTTAACAGATCTGTGACTATCAATAATAACTAAATCCATCTTCTTCAGGTTATCAATATACATCGTACCACGGAGAGATTCCTGACGTTGATTGCTTCCCTTCAGTTGAAGAATGACGTACAACTGGACAAGCTTGATTGGGCCATTAATATTCTTGAGCACTGGGAGTCTATCTCCCTTGGTGATCCAGAGCTTCCAGCAACATCGAAAATAAGAGTACTCACAAGTTCCCCTTTATAGTCTTTTTATGGATTGCACCCACCTTAAAAACTCGAGAAAACAGTTGAAGAAAAAATCACTAATTTTATTTTAGTTTTATCGATGCCATAGATAATCTTAGCGGTGTCTTTCTGTTACTTGTACAATGAATATCATAAGAGTCGGAATTCTATAAAGGTATTATCAATTTAATTGATATACTAGCTGACATAACTTATGATCATCTTCTCTGTGATTATATAATCTACGAGTAGAGTATAAAACTGGTGAGTTAGTGAAGCACATTAGATCTCCAACTATGTTTATATGATCTAAAATGGTTTCTTCTGTTACTATTCCAGGGTTTCTTCTTAGAGATATCAAAAACTTCTGGCGTGTTACACTTTTAACATCTCTGTTGATGAGTACGGTTGACGGCATGAAGGAAGATCAAGAAAGTTGTGGGCATTTGGATTTCCAACTGGACAAGTTGCGAAAAACCTATCTAACAATCGAGGAAACCATTCGTGAACTAGGTAAGCGTTAGTATGTAGCATGATAAACTGTAGTCTGAAAGATAAATATTTTACAAGAAGAGGCAAAAGATGTCAGGCAAGTCAGGGTGTGACCAGTTTTTAAAGGCTCTATATACGTAATGGTGTTTCTTGGCTTTTAACATTACAGGTCTAGATGACATCTGGGATGTAAAGCCTCTGGTGAATGGCAGGGAAATCATGCTAATTGCAGAGCTTAGCGGAGGATCATCTCTCATCCGTGAATGGGTTAGTTAGTTAAAAGGCTTCATTCATTTCATTTATTGTGAATCTCTGTACAGTTGAGAGAATCTTGCTTCTTTCTGATACAAGCTGTCGTGCCATTTGCTCTGTTTTGCAGCAACAGAAACTTCTCATATGGCAGCTAGCTTATCCCAATGGCTCCGCTGAGGCATGCAAAGGTTGGATGAGAGAAATACAAGCAAAACGACAACGGACAGAGTGACTGACTTTAGAATCTGGTGACCTTCTACGCTATTTAGTCGTTAAAAATCATTTGACATTGTAGCTTAGTTGAATCTTAGATAAGCAAGCAACAGATTCGATAGAACTAAATAAAAAGAATGAAACCAACATGGTCAAAGAGGTAATATACATATCATCGGTCCTTATTGGCTAATAGATAGCTTCACAAATTTGGTGTGTAGACAAGACATTAAAAGCAGAAGATTCAGAGATGAGCCAAACCGGACTGAGAGAGAGAGAGAGTCCATGGTGTCTGCTCGAATCTTTGGTCTAACATTCTTCAAGCGAGTGTGCAGAGGCGAAATGAGATGATGAACCTTCTGATTCCCTGCAAAGCAAAGAATTACGTGGGCTAGTCTGATATGGTAGCATGATTTCGTTGAGAGATGATATGTTCGAGTAAAATGGTGAGTCCAATGAGCCCATATAGGTGAAGTATGATCTTTGCGATGAAGACCGCAGCAAGGAGGCTGCTTGTTGTTGAATATCCTTAGATATATATATGGCTGATATATTTTGATGGCCAGCTTTCACCTGAAAGATTGTTGACTGTAGGACGAGCTCGTGTGCAAAAGTGAGGAGGATCCCACAAGAGGAGGATCTATATGCACTAAAGATGATCCTGCAAGGAGCGGTGTGCTCTCTGAAGCTGATGGCTCGTCCATGCTTATTCTTGCATCTCGTTTACACACTGGGCAAAACGTTCTCCATGATGTAAGCCACAAGTCTACACAAGCGGCATGAAACTCTGTAGAAACACCAAAAGTTCACTAAGTTGGTTTGTTTCTAACGAGATAGTATAGGTTTAAATCTCATATACTTAACTGTGACAGCAAGGTAAGACCCTAAGCTTGTTCCCAACACTGTAATCTTCGAGGCAGATAGCGCAAGACAAAGCAGTTGTGATGTATCCATGTACAGAAGTGAATCTAACACTCGGCAGTGATTTCACCATCCTATCGCTCATCACATGTGATGTGCAACGCCTATAGACGAAGACACAAGTGGTTAGAATAAGAAATATGTTCAGTGATATGAGCAATGCGATGCAAGCGAACGACGACCACCCAGAGTCCTCTAAACTAGGGACCAGCATGACTTTTGTATCCACCATGCCAGCGTACTTCTTGAGTGTTTCTCCTGCTGCTTTCGACACAAAGACCGCTTGAATGTTTATACCATACTCGTCTCCATCCACTGAAAACAAGATTTTAAAATCAAGATTTGTAGCTCGAGATTTGGATACTTTGTTTAGTACAAGGTTTTACTAGATAATAAGAACTCGCGGTCCACATCGTCATGGACAATGGCAGCCTTGAAGCCGGTTCCCTGAGCGTTTCTGACTTTCTGCTCAAAACTGCAGCCTCCTCCTCTCACGATCAACGCGAACGGGAACATACCGTTAGTGCTCTGCTTTGGTTTATTCCTCAACTTTTGGCAAGCGTCAAGAGGATCAGCCACGTAAAGGACACCGGTTTCTACCATAGCCTCTTCTGATGGAGCTGGAACACGAGATCAGCATTTTAGCAAGCGTTTAAATTTTTATATATATAACAGATCACATACTTGTGTGTGTTTGTGGTAGAAAAAAAAACTTACAGAAATAAGCTTCCATGTCTTCGAAAGACCGAGTGATGTTGGAATTTAACAAAAAAACTCTGCCTGCATCGACCCATGAAACAAAGAAAAGGTGTAATAGTAGGAGGACCAGAGTGACAAGGTTCATTGTTTGCTTCCTTTCCGAACAATAACACAACTCGGTTTGAGGGGTTATTCGATTGAATATTTTTACTATTGTTATGAAATATAACCATAACTTTGTCAAAAAGAAAATTTATTCGGTTGTTTTTGATATAAGTTAAACTAGGATAAGACACGCGCCTTGCGCGGAATGAAGCTATTATTTTTATTATGTTTTGAAAAATGAAATAATAGTTCGGTTTCATTCGGATTAGAGGTGTTCAATCCGGATATCAGGTTTCGGTTCGGCTTGATTTTTTGGTATTTCGATTATTAAAATATAACTACTATTCTAAATGGGTTGGCTGCCTATTCCCACCTCTAGACATATAAACCCTATTTATTTCCCCCCAAACTATTAACCTCTTCACTAACCCACCCAAACATATATGTATCCTTCATATATCCCCCTAAACTCTTTAAATCCCCCTATCTAATTGAATCTCAAATCGTGATTAATGAACCATAAATCGCGTTTAGGAAATAGTGATTGCCCCATGGAAAATAATCCGATCCGACAGTTATAAAAAAACCGACCCATGTTTTATAACATTACCAATCTCAAATTGAATTGGAGCATAGGTTTTTTCTTTTTCTTCCCGACACAGAAACATCAAGAGAGATAGATAGTTACAGGAACAGAAATAAGAGAGACACGGGAATATAAAAGAGAGAGAGAGAGACGACAGGAACAAGAAGAGAGAGAGAGACACCAGGAACAGAGTAGAGAAAAAGAGTCGACGAGAACAGAGAAGAGAGAAAGACGATGGGAACAGAGAAGAGAGAAAGAGAGACAGAAACGAAGAAGATCTCATATTTGTTTATGTCTGGTTTTGAGTTTGAATTTTTCTTATAGAGATGAAAGAGGTAACACCATTGTTGAAACATAAAAGAAAGACTTAGAAGGAGGAAGAAGAAGCCATAAGAATTAATATAAGGAAAGAGATGATTGAAAGCTATGATAGGAAGAAGAAGCTATGAGAATTATGTAATGAAATTCTCTTATGTTTTTAACTTTTTAGACTTATGTAAGACTCTTATCTATGTTTTCAGTCTCAAGATTATCATGTTCTTTATGCTTTTCAGTAACTGAGATTATCATATTGTTTATGCTTGGATATGCTTGAGTTTAAACATGGATTTGACTTGTTTGGAACTCAAGAAAAATAAAGTGGTTTGACGCTTTCTACACTTCCACATGATGCATGACTCATATTGTTTTAATAATTTATGTGCTCTAAAGATAGAGAGTGAGCTTGAACAACAAAAGCAACATAAAAACAAACGATGCATTTATGTTTTGGGAAACAAAAGCCATGACAACAAAAACAACCAAAGCAACATAAATCCACTAGTCTTGAACTTGAACAAAACCCACGACAAAAAAACAACAAAAGCAACAGCTTGCATTTCCCATCCTCGGGCATACCTAACAACAACAGTCTGTCATCCTTCTTCAATGTTTCTTTCTCCTCTGCATCTTCATTCCTCACCGTCTCTCTCTCTCTTCTCTGTTCCCGATGCCTCTCTCTCTCCTGTCGTATCTTTCTCTTCTTGTTCTTCGTTTATGTCTCTCTTTCTCTCTTCTCTGTTCCCATTGTCTCTCTCTCTCTCTCTCTCTCTCTCTCTCTCTCTCTCTCTCTCTCTCTCTCTCTCTCTCTCTCTCTCTCTCTCTCTCTCTCTCTCTCTCTCTCTCTCTTATGTTCCCGTGTCTCTCTCTTATTTCTGTTCCTGCAACTATCTATCTCTCTCGCTGTTTCTGTGTTGGGAAGAAAAAAAACCCTAGGCTCCAATCCAATTTGAGATTGGTAATGTTATAAAACATGGGTCGGTTTTTTATAATTGTCGGATCGGATTATTTTCCATCGGGCTCACTATTTCCTAAACGCGATTTATGGTTCATTAATCATGATTTGAGATTCAATTAGATAGGGGGACTTAAAGAGTTCAGGGGGATATATGAAGGGTAAGTATATGTTTGGGTGGGTTAGTGAAGAGGTTAATAGTTTGGAGGGAAATAAGTAGGGTTTATATGTCTAGGGGTGGGAATAGGCAGCCAACCCATTCTAAATCTATATGTACTTCGGTTTGATTTGGTTTATATACCATCGGTTTTCAGTTTATTCAATTTTATACCAAAAAAACATAATTATTTAGTTTGAGAGCATATTATATATTATAAAAATATATAATATGATCATATTTAGAGTCATATTGTCACAGTGTCATTTATTAAAAAAAATATTATATATTTAAATAAAATAATAAAAAACAAAAAATGTTTCTATCATCTAATAAAATGATCAAATCTAGAATTAATATCAAAACAGTAAATTTTGAAAATAAAAATTAAAAACAATACAGAAGCATGAAAGAAATTTTTTTATATTCTTCCATATTTAGTGTTCATCATACCAATATGTCTTCGATTGAACACAACTCTGTTTGTTTAAAGATAAAAAAAAGTTGTAAAGAATTTCAACTAATTGTTTTCCATCAAATTTATAATCTTTACTTTAATTTAGTTATTGTTAAAAAAGCAAAAGATCAAAATAAGAAGTCTCAGTTGTAATAAAGTGTTAGCTATTTACAAATTATAATTATAGTTCAATTCATGTAACAAATAGATATCCATGCGTCGTTATAAATATATACATATCTACATGTTTCAGTTTAATCGGTTATAAATCAAACCATATCCAAGTCCTATGGTTTTTATAAAATCACATCCATTCGGTTTGTATGGTATATACCAAAAATAACCATATTATCGATTGTTAATATCTTTTAAAAATATATAATTAAATAAAGAACTAAGATATTTAAATCATTGATAACAAAAATTTTCAATGTGAAAAATTTAATAAGTTTATAATTTATAAATTTTCTTGAAAATTTATTGAAAATTTTGAAATTAAAATATTTATGTAATCTTATATGGTATATAGTTTAATCTGTATATATATTTGTTTTATTACTGAATGATACTTTTTACTTATATGGTTTTAAAATCATGTATATCTTTTTATAATAAAAATGTTAAACTATTGATCATTAATTTTTAACATAATAATTTTAATAGTTTAGTTATTTATTCTCATTTTTTAAAATTCAAAATATAACCTATACGAAAAAATCTAATGTTTAATTTTATAGCTAATTTGATTGTTTAATTTATTTTAATAATATAAAATTAAAGAAAAATGATGGAGGATATATAAACTGTTATCAAATATTTATTATTAGAATCATTAAGTGTCATATATATATATTAGTCATTTATGGTAATTCTGTAGGTTTTATTTATGGAAAGAAAATAAAATAGTAATTATATCTAGGGGAACAATCATAAATGCTTCTATCATAAGCATCATATCATATCATCATATCATATAATTTGACCAACAAATGTATCTAGCGACATATAAAAATCGAATGTGGACCTACTTATTTTTCAATTGAATGTAATTGACTACCTAATTGAATGACACCTAAGCATGGGGTCTTTTTTAATTATTACAAAATTGAGGTTACAATTTTTTCAATGTTTCTCCTTTAATATATAAGGGATTTAGTAGTATTCAATTAATGCTTTCTAAAACTTGTGGATATAGTTTGTAACATTGTTATGATTTCTTATAGTAAACAGAACTAAAACTATACTTGAGAAACACTTTTAAATAAATACTTTTTTTTAGGTATTCTGTAAGGGAAAATCTAGTTAGATTTGAGAATTAATAAAGGTATAAAAGTATTTAATCAATCCAATTTTCACATTTGATACAAGAAAATCCAGCTCTCATTTATATCAAAAATCTAAATAATGACCATAGCTTTTTTCCCTTGGTCATCAACATCTATAGACACCCAGATCCGGCCCAACAATAAAGGATTCAATTTATTGGACCTGGCCCATTTTCGGGTAATTTCGGCATACGTTTCTTCTAAAAAGGTTTACTAGGATAAGACCCGCGCTTTGCGCGGGATGAAGTTGATATTTTTAATTATGTTTTCGAAAAAGAAACAATAGTTCGGTTCATTTGGATTAAGGGTGTTCAATCCGGATATTGGGTTTTACTTTGGTTTGATTTTTGGGGTTTTTGCTAATTTGACTCAAAACTCAAAGTCAAACACAAAACTAACCTTTCTTGTTTTTTTGATTTTTCGTTTGTCTTATTCACCCCATCTGTTCACATTATTTACGAAAATGCCATTACACTTTTTTCTTTTCTTTTTTTTGAAAATTATTTTTTTACTCTCTCAACCTCATCATCTTCAAGTATTTACAAGATTGACATTGCCATCAATGCCCTAACTACCATGAACAACCAATTTGAAGCTCTTAATGCACCAAAAATCGATTTACACCCTCTTTTTCTCAATTGTTATGAACTAAAAACAACATCTCTTTCACTTTGTCTCCATATTCATACAAAAAACCCAAGCTTTTGATTCAAAATTTTTATGGTTGATAGAGCCATTTAAGCATACAATTCTTGGTGGGTTACTTTCATTTGATATTTTGGGTGGTTGGAGAAGACTTTGTGTGCTAAGAAAGTCATCTCACTTAGTTTAAGGTATGAAATTGAAATTTTTTCCAGATCTGTTCGCGTAGAAGACTTACTTGTAAGTCTTCTGGATGAGCTGGACGACTTACTTCTAAGTCGTCCAGCTGGACGACTTACTTCTAAGTCTTCCAGCTTTGTATGTTTAAAAAAAAAAAATCTGGACGACTTATAAATAAGTTGTCTAGGAAAAACGGGCTAATTTTGCGTTTGACCGAATTATGTCAGATATTTGACTTTTCCTGGACGACTTACCAGTAAGTCGTCTCCGGGAAAGTTAAAATTTCAATATTTTATTAAATCTAGACGACTTACGGATAAGTCGTCTTAGGTTAGTTTTGTAATTGAAAAAAAAATCTACTATTTTAAATCTATATTTTCTTCGGTTCGATTTGGTTTATATACCATCGGTTTTCAGTTTATTCAATTTTATACCAAAAATATAATTATTTAGTTTGAGATCATATTATATATTATACAAATATATAATATGATCATATTTAGAGTCATATTGTCAAAAAGGCATTTATTAAAAACATATTTTATTTTAAAATAAAAGAATAAAAAAGGCTTCTATCATCTAATAAAATGATGAAATTTGGAATTAATATCAAAGTTCTAAATTTTGAAAATAAAAATAAAAAACAAAAAATATTGAAAGAAAAGTTTTTATATTCTTCCATATTTAGTAGTATTCTTCAAATTAATATGTCTTCGGTTGAACACAACTCTGTTTGTTTAAAGATAAAAAAAGTTGTAAAGAATTTCAACTAATTGTTTTCCATCAAATTTATAATCTTTACTTCGATTTAATTACTGTTAAAAAAAAAGCAAAAAAAAAAAAAATAGAAAATAAGAAACCTCAGTTGCAGTAAATTGTTAGTTAATTATAGTTCAAGTGATTCAAGTGATTTAGAAATTGTAATTATAAATCAACTCATGTAACAAATAGATATTCATGCGTCGTTATAAATATATACATATTTATATGTTTCAGTTTAATCAGTTATAAATCAAACCATATCCAAATCCTACAGTTTTTATAAAATCACATCCATTCGGTTTGTATGATATATACCAAAAAAACATATTATCGATTGTTTAATATCTTTTAATAAGATAAAATTACAAAAAAAAAACTAAGATATTCAAATCATTGATAAAAAAAATTCCAGTGTGAAAAATTTAATAAGTTTATAATTTATAAATGTTGTTGAAAATTCATTGAAATTTTTGAAATTAAAATATTTATGTAATCTTATATGGTATATAGTTTAATCTATATATATATTTGTTTTATTATTGAATGATACTTTTTACTCATATGGTTTAAAAATCATGTGTATCTTTTGAAAATCATGTGTATCTATATATATATATATATATTTGTTTTATTATTTGTTAAACTATTGATCATTAATTTTTAACATAATAATTTTAATAGTTTTAGTGGGGGTTATTGGTTCTAGGATTTTATAGATTTAGAAATCCTTTTTTGATTTTGAAATTTTTGACAAATCCACACATTTTAGAATCAAATACGTAGATTTCAGAATCAATGAAATAGATTTCAAAATCAATATAATTGAATTATTAGAAATCAACGAAATGGATTTGTGATAAACGCAGCTTTGTAACAAAAGAAAAAATATATAAAACTACAACATATGGTTTATCATTTTCTATGTCTTATGTTATTATGATAACATAAAATCTCTCACATACTTGTTATTATTGCCGTTCTCACTTGATTGGCATATTCTGTTTGTTGATTTTCAGTTCCAGTAACTTCCTCAAGATCTTCTTCTTCATCGAAACTTTTTTATTCAGAAAAGCTATTCGTCAGAACTTTTTAAAAAGACTACACGTAAACTAACACACAAATATTCTCTCCGTTTGTGTCTTATAAGCAAAAGGGGATGCACATTAAAAATTAAAAATCGAGATTTGAATATATCAAAAATTCTTAACATTTCTAAGAAAAACATGATGATGGTAAACAACTCTTTGTCATTTATGGAGTAGAATCTCCAAAAAACATTTGTAGACCAAAACTCTTATGAGAGATCTTTGGTAAATTTTTATATTAACGTCTACGTGTACGTAAAACTAAGTTAGAGATGATTGGTTAATATATTAGTATTTGCTTATTATTAGAGAAACATGGATAATATGTACGTAAAACTTGGGGAAAGAAAACATATTAAGAAAATCAATAATACACTATCAAAATAACAAGA